ACCCACATGTTCACAGGAACCCTTGCATATTTTGATTTGAGATTTACAAAGCATTAGCTCTTTCCAGAATTGTACCTGAAAATGTTAATAGGAATATGGAATAAAAGCATCTTCTTTGTTCTTACTCTTCAATCTGAAAACCATCACTTCTTTCTTTTTAATTTGTGAGGATGTCAAACAAATGCCTGAGCAGAATTAGACAAGTTGGTCTAATTCCCATACCTCATAGATTAATGCCCAGAGTGACCTATACCTACTTGAATTATATGATATTTTTAAAGAGATAATTTTAAATTTTTATTTTTTTGTTTCCAAGGTGCTATCTTAATTTATTTTTATTAAATTGTATTTGGCATATAATGAGCTTCAAGTATACAACATATGACTCTACATTTATATATATATTATTTTATATGATGCGATCACTGCATTAAGTCTATAATAGTGTGATAACTTTGCACAGTGACAGATGGTTTCTTGAATTGTATAATTTCATGATAAATCCCTTAAACAATCACAGCTTTACATGAGAGCATATGATTCCTCTCCTGCTTAAAGTACCTGGGAACTGGATGTGAGGAGAGAAGGGACCCTGGCAGCAGGAAGGAATCCTCAGTTTCCCCTCCTCAGCAGCAAGCAGATGTTTTCTTCCTTACGTCGGTGTCTGAGGGCGTCCTGGCAGCCTGAGAAGGCGGTGTAGAGCTAAAAGACAAAGATCTGTGTTCCCTGTCTTCTCTTTATCATAGTATAGTTACTGACAGAGAGTAAGTGCTCAAAAAAATTAGAAAATATTTAAATATGATCATAATAGCACATCCTAAAATGTTAAAACTGCCTCCACCTTCACTTACTGTAAACTTCACACAGCTTGTAACATGATGACTGCATGTGTCAGTGTGCACATGCGCCCATGTGTATGCCCTGACTGACTCGAACCCAACTGACCAGAGCCCTAAGTGGCTAGGTTTCCCTTCTTCAGCATTTTATCTTTTAGAGAAGGGACCAAACAATGACACCAAAATTTACTTAGAAGTATATGTACAACACATAACTTTTACACATTATTCTGCATAATTTTGTGAGCACACTACATAGTGCAGCAATGCATGGTAAAAAGCGTTGAAAATGAAGTAAGTCTTGTGACCATGTGCCCCTTGGTAAATCCCTGTTTATGATGGGGTCTGTCTAGGAAGTATCCATCCATGTACTATGAAAAATAGAGGCATTTATTAAAGAGCAAGATACAAGCTACAAGGAACATTGTACATAGGACAGCAATGCCTCAGTTCCCTTCAAAGTGGGCACCTTGGGGCCTCACACAGTTCTCCCAATCACCATCAGTTGTCCCATTGTATTTTCCTGAATCTCATCAATGGTCTCAAGTCTCTTTCCTTTCAAAGGTGATTTTAGTTTTGGGAAAAGCCAGAAGTCACAGGACGCCAAATCTGGGCTGTAGGGGGCCTGAGTCACCTGGGTGATTTGATGTTTCACCAAAAACCTCTGTATGAGACATGATTCATGAGTGGGCACATTGTCGTGATGATGCTATCAATCACCAGTTGCTCATAGCTGTGGCCTTCTGAATCATCTGGGTAGTTTTAGTGGAGGAATGGTCAAGCTTAATGCAAAATTTGATGCAGATTCATTGCTGTACTCAGTCATTTTGAATGTGACAGCCACAAAGTACACATGCTCACTCAACAGCCCCTACCACCCCCAAAGCTAGTACAGCGAAGTCATCATTGTCCACAAATGTGCATTCTAGTCCACTCTCCTTGGCTGCCAGGTTACACTGATATCATGCAAACTGTTCTCGTTATGTTTTAAATGGCTGGATTTTTTCTGGACAGACTTCATATATCCTCAATGCATGATTTATAATGTCCTTTTCTCTGAGAAACTTTCAGAAGTCCCTTGGTTTCTCCTTTGTTTTGAAGTTTTTCCTTGGAAAAAAAGGAGCTATCAAGTAGAACAAGGTATAGGAGTTCCAGACTATAGATATAAACTAGAAACTATAACCAGAGCGTCTCAGTAAAATGGAATTAAGTAGATATTTCAATATAGACATGTGCTTAATAAGACTTTCTTCAGAGGATATAGTAAATGTACCACTTGTGATCTCCATCACAAATATATTAAACCATAGTTTCAGTTTGTTATTTTGTTTGTTTTGGGGAGAGGAATTTTTTGTTCAGACTTTTTCTTAAAGAATGGAACTGCAACGGTCTTCATATCACATAAGAGCTGTTCTGTGCACACAAAGACTGTGGCATATTTTGGTGGAATATTTGGGAAACCTTAGTACCATGTTTCCCAGTCTTTTTTGTTATGTGATTTTTGAAGTATGGTTCTTAAACTGCTTTAATATTACCTACAAAGTCATACCAAAAATGTATCGAAGGTAGACAGAAGAACCTTAGCTTAATTATGCTGGGCCCTAGAAAAATGACCACAGCATTCCTATACCTGTATTTTCAGGAGGGTGTGTGGCATGTAACTATGCCTTCTTGCTTAGTAACAATTTCAGAGAAACATACTGTTCCTTACTTGCAGTCTCCTCCTCCCAGAGCTTAACAGAGTAGCTTTTGTCAAAACATACGATTACTTTCTTGTTATTTGATTAGCACCTTATGATAGTCACTGTTTTTTTATCCTCAAAGAGGGTTTTATAACTTTCTTTCATCTTTATTTCTATGTATAATGCAGAGATATATTAAACCATTGTTATATTAGAGTGTATCAGAGAAATATCTTTTGCAGCTCTTCTAAACCCTATGCCTTTGCATGCTATAATCAGTTTTCTCTAGCTCATTTTAATATATTTTATTTATTATAGATGATTAGCTATTTCAGGAAGTTATATCTAATTGTGGATTTTATGATATTTACCTAATTTATGATATTTATGATTCTTTATCCAAGAATCATTGTGTTTCTTGAATCTGTGTATTCCTGTATTTCATCAGTTCTGAAGAATTCTCAGCTATTATCTCTTTAATATTATCTCCTTTTTCTTCTTTTCTCTCTTTTTGGAATGGCAATTAAATATGTCAGACTTGCCTCTTTAATATTTATTTTAAACTTCCCATTTTAAAATTTATTAAATTCCTGGAGTTTTGTCATCTAAATTCTAGTTTACTAAATTTTCTTAAATCTAAATTAGTATTTATCCATCTAGTATATATTTAATCTTAGTAGCTATGTTTTTCATTCCTGGAAGTTTTATTAAGTTGTTTTCTGAATCTTGTTTTTATAGTTCTTTGTTTTTTCATTCCTGTTTTTATTATATCCTATATGTCTTAAATAGTTTTAAAGAAATTTTATTTTCCATATGTAATAATTTTATTATCAGAAGTTCTCAATAATGAATCTGATAATGGGGTTGAATTCTCCTCTTACTAATAGAGAATAATTTGTTGATGGGGTATATAAAACCATCTGTGATTAGGTGCTTATCTTCACTGGCCTTTGTCCCTGAGAATCCTTTTTGTCATTTTGAGGGAATGACAGAGAGGTTGTGCATCCATTTCTGGCAGCTGCCTCAGGGTTATCAAAAGTCTGTTGCCATTTTTATATAAATAGCTCAGAATGGGTATTTTTGAACTGACACAGTAATATAAATTAGAGCTATGAAACAAACATGAAGGATTATTCTAATTTTCCAGGGATATCTCTGTTTTTTTCAACAAGTTCTCTTGCCAGAGAGGCAGACTTCCTCATTCTTTTCTTTTTCTGACAGCAAATATTTTTCTAGCCCTGTAAGGGCCCCAGATATGTAATAGGCAGCTTTCTTCAAAATCCTCCCATATCAGGGATGTAGGGATTAGCCTGCGCTCTCCATATGTCCACTAAAAGTCCATTCTCTTGGTTCACTGAGAGTGGTGGGGTCCTTGAAATCATTGTCAGTGCCAGTTAGTACTATGAGTTTTGCTTCTCTTCTTTCATTATTTTAAACCGTAGACTGCTGTTTAGTAAATGTTGGAAGAGTTTAGTTCTCGTAGTTATTTTTCAGCATTACGGTTTTCTTTATAATTCATCCAGAAAATATTTGAATCTAAAAAAATTAATGATTTTTAAAATGTATATTATAACATCAAATAATATTGTATTATTTCATAAAATGAAAAATAAGAATATGAATAGTAGAACTAGAGATCTATACTAGCACAAGCTTTGGTTTCTCAATAATATTTTCTAATTTTACCTTCTACAGTATATACAATACTTCAGTGTATACAATACTTTGAAAGTATTGGCAACTTTTAATGTGGAATAGAAATGTCATGCTAATAACTGCTCAAAAGTGAGAAGATATAAAGAGAATTGAAATACAGGCCAAATATTATTCTGGGGTCAACTTGCCTACCATGCCCAATTGTGGAGTCTTCGTTCCCACTGGCTGTAGTTCCTGAGCCTCCTTTTCTCATAGATAATGTGGGACTAATGGTGCTCCTCTACTTTACATACAGGGTTGTTGTGAAGCAGCATTCAGAATGAAAGCCAGAAAAGACGTTTCACAAATTGTAAAGGCAGTAATAATCAGTGTACTCAGATAGTTCTTAAAGCTTTTTAAAAAAAGAGGTCAGAGATTAAGAGGACATGTTTATGAACCTGGTGAGATTGGTAAGGTGTCAGAAAGTTTCAATTAGAAAGTCAGAAATATTAACAATAGGAAATTAAATTTATTGTAACATATTGAGATTATTATTGGTAACAAAAATACTAAGCTCTTTGTAAAAACAAAGGAATTAAGAACAACAGTAATTTTTGAAAGGTGCTCAGATGAAATGATTAATTACATCTGAATTTCTGTGATTTTTTGAAATTTTTATAAATCAGAAGTACTGAAGTTACAGAACTATAACTAAAATATGTAAATAGGAATGTGCAAAATAATAATTTTTGTCATATATATTGTACTACAAAGACTTGTAAAAATTTAATGAAACTTTTTCTTGAAAAAAATGAAAGGGCTAACAATAATATACTTTATTTTTTAGCATACGGCGGCATCAAGAAAGAAGAGCAATTATGACTCCCATTTTAACAGATTTTTCTGTCCGAATAACTGGAGCACCTGCCATCATTTTCACCAAAACAATTTCTCCAGAAAATATGCATACTGAGGTTAGAACTTAATTTAGGTCTCATTTGGTCTAAATAAGGGAGCGGCTCTTCTTTGTATGCTAGGGGTCTGCATGGTTTCAGCGCACAGACCATCAGATTAGCTCATTGTTAACCGGTAACTGTTACAGCTATTATGGAGCACTTTCCAGTACCATTCAGATGCTACTTTTTATGCACTAACTCATTTAATCCTCATGATAATCCTATTAGCTTATCCTACTGTCTTCATTTATATGCGGAAAAACCAAAATACAAAAAGCTTAACCCAAATAGCTTGTCCAAATTTTCACAAGTCGTAAGTGGCCAAGCAGGGTATGAACCCAGCTGGTCTGGCTCCAGACTACACACACCCTGTACAACCTCTTTTTAATGAAAACAACACTGATATTGACAGTAATTTAGCATTCTCCCATGGATTACCCTATGGAGAGAGTTCTGCTTTCATTACCTTATTTAAGCTTCACAATGTCCTTATGAGATAGATATTATTATTATCTGTATTTTATGGATGAATAAAACTGAGACCAAGTTATATGACCCATGTTATTAGCCTATTACCAATGGATCCATGTTTCAAGTCTGATCACTATGTATCAGTGCCTCTATGCCTAGAATAGAAATGTAATAATAATGTGATTCATCAGAACTTTAGAAAGCTCTTCATTAGAAAGAAATTGAAGAAGATAGAAATAAATGGAAGAATATACCATTCTTTTGGATAAGAAGAATTAACATCATTAAAATGTGTAGGCTACACAAAGCATCTATAGAGCCAATGCAATTCTTATGAAAATACCAATGGCATATTTCATAACACAAGAACAAATAATCCAAAAAGTTATTTGCATCCACAAAAGAGCCTGAATAGCCACAGCCATCTTGAGAAATTAAAAAAAAAATTGGAAGAATCACACTAGCCGATATCACGCTATACTATAAGACTATAGTAATCAGTATCACACTGTGATACTGGCATAAAAACAGACCTATAGATCCATTGAACAGAATAGAGAGCCCAGAAATAAGCGCTTGCCTATATGAGCAATTAATATATGACACAGGAGGCAAGAACATACGGTCAGATAAAACCAGTCTACTCAATAAATGGTTTGGGGAAAATTGGACACATACATGCAAAAAAATGAAACAGACCACCTCCTTATACTATATACAAGAGTAAACTCAAAATGGATTTAAAAATTAAATGTAAGACCTGAAACCATAAAACTCTTAGAAGAAAAATAGGTAGTGAACTCTCTAACATTTCTATTAGCACTACTTTTTCTGATATATCTTCTTGAGCAAGGGAAGCAAAAGAAAGAACAAAGGGAACTTGATCAAACTAAAAATTCTTTGCATAGCAAAGGAAACCATCAACACAAACAAAAGACAATCTATTTAATGGAAGAATATACTCACCAATGATACATTGATAGGGGGTTAATATCCAAAATATATAAAGAAATACAACTCAACACCAAAAAGAAACAAATTTAATTAATAAATGGGGAGAAGACCCCAAGAGACACTTCCAAAGAGGACATACAGATGGCCAATAGATATGTGAAAAGATGCTCAGCACCACTAGTTATCAGTGAAATGCGAATTAAAACTACAGCGAGGTGTCACCTGTAAGAATGGCTACCATCAATAAACAAGCAAACAAGTGCTGGTGAGGATGTGCACTATTGATGGGAATGCAGATTGGTGCAGCCAGTGTGAAAAGCAGTATGAAGTTTCCTCAGAAAAATTGAAAATGGAGTTGCCTTATGACCCAGTGAACCACTTTTGGGTATATATCCAAAGAAAATCCAAACAATAATTCAGGAAAATGTATGCACCCCTGTGTTCATTTCAGCGTCATTTGGAATAGTGGAGATGCGGAAGCAGCCCAAGTGCCCATCAACAGATGAGTGGCTGACAAAGCTGTGGTACCTGTATACAATGGAATGTTACTCAGCCATAAAAAGAATGGAATCTTACCATTAGTGACAACATGGATAGACCTTCAGGATACTGTTTTAAGTGAAATAAGTCAATTAGGGGAATAAAAATGCCATAGGATTTTACTTATATGTGGAATTTAAAGAACAAAATGAACAAACAAAATTGAAACAGACGTATATACTTGTATGCAGAGAACAGGCTGATGGTTGCCAGAGGGAAGGGGCATTAAGGGACTGAAAAAGGTAAAGGGATTAAGCAGTACAAAGCAGTAGTTACAAAATAGTCATGGGGAAATAACACACAGCATAGGGAATATAGTCAATAATATCATAATAACTATATTGTTGCCCAGCAGGTACTGGAAATATTGAGTAGAACACTTTGTGAAGTGTAAAATTATCTGTGCTATACAAGTGAAAGTAACACAAATAATATTGAATGGAAACCATAATTTAAAAAAAGAAAACAAAGTTCTTCATACAAATTTGTTATACTAAAAATTTTATAAATGTTTTAATTAGTTACAGGCTGTTATGAAAAATTCAAAAAAATTAAGGACAAATTAAATATAATCCAAGCTACTATAAATTTTACATTCCTTCCCTTAGCTTTTTGAAAACAATATATTTGTATGTTACCTTGTTTGATGTTTATATTAGCCCAGTAGGGAAAGTTAGGTTATCCACAGTTGTATAAAAATTAAATCTACTAATACCTTACAGTTACTTAGTAACACAGTTGGTTTAAAATACATGAATGTATTTCTTTTCATCATTACTTGGAGGAGTAAAATAATAATTCTAACTATAATGAGTAAACACAGGGAACTTGTAGGGAAAAAGTTTTTTAACCAAAAAAAAAAAAGATAATCATTTTCGACATGCTGTTGTTTGTGACTTTATTAAAACCCGCTCTAAGCTGTTTAGTTTGTGGCTGGACCAGGCCTAAGTCTCCTTAAATCTCTCCCCTTGGATGACACTAATATGGAGAGGGTTTGTTGGATGTTTCCAGACATTTGAATGTTCTCCACATGCACTTCATGACAAGAGGCAGGACTTCAGCTTGTTAAGTGAAGCTTCTGGATTGTTTTTCATTTCTGTCCCTCTTCTCTGAATGGTTTTCCAGCAAAGAATGTTCAAGTAACTCAGTTGTGCAGAACAGCACCGGTTAAGTAGTGGACATCTACCTAATGCTGCCAAGAGTTTAGCAGTTTGAAGAAGTTAAATTAATTAGTCTAGCTATTTTTGGCTTCAGCACTCTATTTTGTTATAAATCATTTGGAACGTATCCTTTGGAGAGTACTCAGACCGTACCACTTGTGATTATAATTGCCTGCCTGCAATCACCCTTTTGTATCTGTCTGCCCAACCGGATTGTGATCCCCTCAAGAGCAGGTTGCCCTTCAAGGCCAGGCTTTTTCTTTGTGCTGTTTCTGGCACTCCAGTGTAGAGCATGGTGACTAGGAGATGCTCAGTAAACATGTGTCGGTTTGAATAAATAAACAAGGCTATGCTTAAGAATTATATCACTTATTGAAACAATGGTAGTAGTTTGCGATATGAAAAAGCCAAATGTATATGAAATGGTGAAAATTCTTATTGTTAGTTTTGTTGCCCTGTAACCAGCACACAGCCTGGCGCACAACAGGCCTTCGTAAATGTTTATTAAGTTAATCCATTAAATTGTGTCAAGTGGCTGTGCTCACCATTTCTGCTGCTCTCATTAACAAATGAACTCGAGTCCCAGAGGAATTCATCAACGTAATAAAGGTCAAATAAGTAAGAATGATAAATTATCATCTAATGGCTATCATGTTTCTTTATCTGGATTCAACTTTTTTCCCCCCTTCAGGAGATTTTAGTGTGTGGCCATTCTTTGGAAGTGAATATAACCACAAACCTGGATTTCTTCCTAAGTGTGGCTCAAGTTCAACTCTTACATCAGTTAATAGTAGCAAATATGACTGGACTGGAACCATCAAGCAAGGCCACAGAGGTAACTATTACCTGATTTTGATTAGACATACTGCATTTGTGCCAGCTTCACATTCATAATAGGAAAACACAGTGAAATGCTTTCTGCTAATTATTCTATACTTAATTTTATTCAAAATGTGGTCATAAATCATTTTGGTTTGGTATTTTTTACTTTTGAAATTTGTTTGGTCTTCTTTCCTATAATTTTTCATGCATCTTTGCAAAATTGCGGTGGCCTAGCCTCAGAAAAGCCTCTGTTAAAAACATGATTTTATTACCCTGTTGCAGTTTTTAAAGTACAATGCAAGAAACCTGGTATAGTTTTTACTTATTCAGATACATTAAAGGGATAGGCCTGTTTTGGAAGTGAACTTTGTAGGAGTACTATGGGAATATCTTCAAATAAATAACTTCTACAGCGTTTGTTTCACATGCTTAGTGAAAAATGGGCACAATCATAAGAGTTGAATGCCTGCCTGGAGTTTTAATTCTGATCTGGTGTTCATTGGAAGCCTGCGTTATAACCACAAAGCATGTCACTGTGAAACAAAGCTGCTTGTTAGATGCTTCCCAAGATATGTTTTCTTTGTTTTTGTTTCCATACTTCTCCGATTGTATCTGTGCTTGGAGTAAATCTTCTATAAAACCTCAAGTGAAGAAGCTGTTTCTCTATGAAAAGGACATTATTTTTGTCGTGAATTATGCAGAAGGCTCTAAGTTCTATTTATCAGAAGGAAGGGGGGAAGAGGTATTCACTGAGAGCCACTTGATGCTAGGCAGCAGGCCAGGCATTTCCATGTAAGTTGGCTCATCGGTCTTGAAGCGCGCTGTCACGGCCGTCCAGTGAGGTGGAGATGGGCGCTTTCACCAGTGTGTAGACTCGGGTCTCAGGGCCCAGAGACGGGGCATGGTAACCCGCCTGGTATCACACACACGGCAGTCAGTGGTGGGTCTGAGCATTGAGCTTAGGTCTTTCTGGGCTGTGCTCTGTCCATTTTGCCACAGTTCATCTACTATCACTGTTACAGCAGTCTTTCAATCTTTTTTTTAAAGTACGTGAAACAGTTTATTCTTGAGTCATTATTTTTACTTATTGCATTCTTTTCTTTTTTTCATACTTTTTTACTGTTGTTCAAGTATAGTTGGCCTTCAGTCTTCTTTATTTAAAAACATTTTTTAATGGTAAACTTTTAGCATTCATAAGTGGTAATTCTCTAACTAGATCAGTTTTTACCACATGTGCTTTCTGTTTAACATCTTTTTAAAAGGTCAATACAGCTATTTGTATTCTCCAAAATACTGACTTTTCTTCAATATACGTTAGACCAGGAGCGTCAGACTCATTTTCACCGGGGGCCACATCAGCCTTGTGGTTGCCCTCAAAGGGCCAAATGTAATTTGAACTCTTTAACAGTTGAGTTACATTTATACAGTCTTAAAATTATTTCAGCCCTTTGAAAGCAACCTCGAGGCTGATATGGCCCTGGGTGAAAATGAGTTTGATACCCCTGTGTCAGATAATCCATAAGAGTATGATTATGCGACATGAAAATAAACAAAGCAAAAAATATTTCCTCCTGGCATTTTTGAGGAAGACCTTGAAGCAAACTGGGTCAGAAGCAGTATTTTACATTCCTGTGTTATCTGTGCCAATTTTGTGAATGTCTCACATCAGTGAAATCTACCTTAGATTTCTGATGTGTTTTAGGAATTTATACAACTTAGCACACTGATTCTTAACTGTTTACCTATCTATTTCTAATGCCTATTAGTAGGACCTAATGTCAGCAAAGGACACTCAGCTTACTAGCAGTCCTTACCTGAATGCTGAGTCACCCCTCGAGTTCTATAAATGAATGAAGTACTGTTTTTGCTGATTTAAAAATGTGTCTGTGGCCTTTTGTTGCTTCTGGGAGATAATGTTAAAAGTATAAACAATATACTGAAATATAGTTCAGACTACACTGAAAAGTGATTACAGTTGTAAATTTTATTTTATGTGCATTTTACCACTGTTTAAAAAAAAAGTATAGTCTGTAGTGTGGGAGGGCAATTGTCTGTGAAAATTTTAATATTTAAAAATACCTTCAGTGAAATAGAAGAAAGTTTTTCTATTCATAAATGATTAACACAACTTACATCCAATAGTCAAAGAACACAAGACATTTTAGTGTCAAAGAATACACTGCTTATACTGTCACGGTGTATTTTGAAAGGGCTTGCGACTTTTAAAACAACCATAGGACTGTAATTTTCAAAAAATTTTTTTGATCTGGCCAAGATGGAGGCGTAGGTAGACACACTGTGCCTCCATGCACAACCAAGATAGGGACAAAAATAATTTAGAAACAGAATAACAGCCAGAACTGACAAAAAAATTGAACTGTATGGAAATCAGACAACCAAGGAGTTAAAATAGACACGTTCATCCGGACCGGTAGGAGAGGCGGAGTTGGGCAGCCGGGCGGAGAGGGGTCTCCCAGCACAAAGAGTGGTGGGACCAGACATGTAAGGCATCCCAAGCGAGCAAGACTGCAGCGGGCAGACCCTGGGCGCAGGGTAGCAATGGGCAGACCCAGCAAGGCAGCGATTGTGAAGCGAGGCACTGCACACAAGGCTGATCACTTGGTCCCACATTTACGTGCAGATAAACCAGGCAAAATTGGGGATCAAGACAGACTGTGCAACCCAGGGTTCCAGCGCCGGGAAATAGAGCCTCGGGGCACTGATTAAAAACCCTTGTGGGGGTTGAGGCACAGGAAGAGACTCCCAGCCTCACGGGAGAGTTCGTTGGAGAGACCCATGGGGTCCTAGAATGTGCACAAGCCCACCCACATGGGAATCAGCACCAGAAAGGCCCAGTTTGCTTGGGGGAAGTGGCAGAAGGGACTGAAGTCCAAGAGAGAGTAGAGCAAGTGCCATTGTTCCCTCTCAGACCCCATCCTCACATACGGCATCACAACCAGTGACTGGGTTACCCGACCCTGGTGAACACCTAAGGTTCCACCCTTCATACTTAACAGGCACGACAAGACCAAAAAAAAAAAAAAAAAAAAAAAGCCCAAATGGAAGAACAGATAAAGCCCCACAGCAAATACAACTAAGTGACAAAGAGACAAGCTATCAGATACGCAGTTCAAAGCACTGGTGATCAGGATGCTCACAGAATTGGTTGAATTTGGTCACAAATTAGATGAAAAAACGAAGCCTACATTAAGTGAAATGAAGGAAAATGCATGGGGAACCAATAGTGATGGGAAGAAAACTGGGACTCAAATCAATGGAGTGGACCAGAAGGAAGAAAGAAACAACCAAACAGAAAAGAATGAAGAAACAAGGATTCAAAAAAATGAGGAGAGGCTTAGGAACCTCCAAGACATCTTTAAACATTCCAACATCCGAATTATAGGGGTACCAGAAGGGAAAGAGGAAGAACAACAAGAGGAAAAGTTATTGGAACAAATAATAAAGGAGGACTTCCCCAATCTGGCAAAGGAAATAGACTTCCAGGAAGTCCAGGAAGCTCAGAGAGTCCCAAAGAAGTTGGACCCAAGGAGGAACACACCAAGGCACATCATAATTACATTAGCCAAGGTAAAAATGAAGGAGAGAATCCTAGAAGCAGCAAGAGATGATAAGGAGACAGTAACCTACAAAGGAGTGCCCATCAGACTGTCAGCTGATTTCTCAAAAGAGACCTTACAGGCAAGAAGGGGCTGGAAAGAAGTATTCCAAGTCCTCAAAGGCAAGGACCTACATCCAAGATTGTTCTATCCAGCAAAGCTTTCATTTAGAATGGAAGGGCAGAGAAAGTGCTTCTCAGATAAGGTCAAGTTAAACGAGTTCATCATCACCAAGCCCTTATTTTATGAAATGTTAAAGGGACTTATCTAAGAAAAGAAGATAAAGAAAAAACATGTACAGTAAAAGGACAGCAAACTCACAATTATTAACAACCACACCTAAAGCAAAACCAAAAGAAAATAAGCAAACAACTAGAACAGGACGAGAACCACAGAAATGGAGATCACATGGAGGGTTAGCAACAGGGGAGTGGGCGGAGGAGGGGGGGAAAAGTACAGAGAATAAGTAGCATAGATGGTAGATAGAAAATAGACAGGGGAGGGCAAGAATAGTATGGGAAATGTAGAAGCTAAAGAACTTATATGTATGACACATGGACATGACTAAAAAGGGGGAGTGTGGGTGGGAGAGGCTGTGCAGGGTGGAGGGGAATGAAGGAGGTAATGGGACAACTGTAATAGCATAATCAATAAAATATATTTAAAAATAAAAATAAAACAAAAAACATTTCCAAATAAAAAAATTCTTTTTGAGAATTAAAAACAGGAAAATTGAATGTGGCTGTTATTGGGGAAGTGTAGAAAGGGTATGTATGTATTTGTTAAAAATCTGTATCACACAATTTAACACATGAATTGTTATTTCTGGAATTTTCTATGTAATATTTTTGAACCATGGTTGACCAAAGGTTTCTAAAACTTCAGAAGGAGGAACCTTGAATAAAGGAGGACTACTATGTCTCCTGTTTGTTCCATGAAAAATTCATTTGTTTTTCCTGAAGAAAAGTACAAATATTTGTTCTTCCCAAAGAAGCCATTTCTCTCCACTTCCTTTTCCCTGGTAAGCATGTTATACGAGCCTTTAACTTTAATTCTTTACCAGTCAAGTGTTTCTTTGGTTAGCTCTTATGAGCACACAAATAAACCTTTTATCTACAAAAAAAATGTGTATCATGGCATTAAGAACAACTACTATTTCATAAGAATGAAGGATTAATAATGGAAATCAGGACTCTAGAAAAAACCCTGTCAATTACAGAGGGGTAAATGTCATATCTGTTCTCAGCCCACCAACTGGTGGGTGATGTTAATACTTTTAGACAGTCTTTGACAAGGTTTCATTTGGAAGATTAATTTTAAAATTATTCAAGAATGTGGTAGGGGTGTTTTTGTTAGTAGAGGAATCATATCCAAACTTCAAACAAAGGGGAGGAAA